AGATTACTGACATTTAGAAATGGGAACAAAGGAGCTAAAGGTTTAGGGAAGGTGGGATGGGTAGGGGAAGAGTAAAAAAGGAAAAGAAAAAAATGTGAGAGAATGAAAAGATGAAAATAAAGTGTTTGTAGAGGGGGAGAGGAGGAGCGGGTGAAGGGAGGGCAGAGGTAAGGGGAAAAAATGAGAATCAAGACTTGCCATGTAAAGGTACATGATCCCAACAATGAATGTAACTGTACTGTATCCCTAAAATGTACCAATATACTCAATAAAATTAAAAAAAAAAAGACTTGTCATGTAGAGGTACAAGATCCCAACAATGAATGTAACTGTACTGTATCCCTAAAATGTACCAATAAACTCAATTAAAGCTGAAAAAAAAAAGAATTGAAGTCATCCCCTGTATATTATCAGATCATAGTGCTGGAGATCAATAGCACAAGAAACTGTAGGAACTTCACAAGCACATGGAAACTCTCCTATCAACACTCTCCTAAACAATCAATGGATTACAGAGGAAATTAAAGAAAAAATTAGGCAGTTTTTACAAATAAATGAGAATGCCAATACAACATACAGGAATCTTTGGGACACAATGAGAGCAGTTCTATGGGGAATACTCATAACATTGAATGCCCACAGTAGGAAAACAGAGTGGGCTCAAATAAACAACTTAATGATGAAACTTAGACTCCTAGAAAAACAAGAACAAGAAAAACCCAAAGCTCAAATAAGAGAGGAAATTATAAAGATCAGAGCAGAAATCAATGCAGTTGAAACTAAGAAAATGATACAAAAAATAAATGAAACAGAGAGCTGGTTTTTTGAAAGAATAAATAAAATAGACAAACCCTTAGCTAATCTTATCAAAAAAAGGAAAGAAAAGGCTCAGATCCATGCAATCAGGAATGAAAAAGGCGAAGTCACAACAGATCCAAAAGAAATCCAGAGGATCATGAATACCTACTTTGAGAACCTGTACTCCAATAAAATGGAAAACACAGAAGAAATGGACAGATTTTTAGATACTTACAAATTACCAAAGTTGAATGAAGAAGATAAAAACATTTTAAACACCCCAATTACAGTCAGTGAAATTGAAAATGTAATTAAAAATTTACCAACAAAGAAAAGCCCAGGCCCTGATGGATTCACTGCTGAATTTTATAAGACATTTAGAGAAGACTTACTGCCATTACTCTACAAACTTTTCTATGAAATTGAAAGAGAAGCTATACTTCCAAATTCATTTCTGGAAGCAAGTATCACTTTGATCAAAACCAGG